TTAACTTTTTTTTGTAGTGTTGTCCAGTTTTACCTTGGGGAAGAGCACCTCATTTCGTTGCACCCACTTGTGAGCTCAATGACAAATAAATTTCTTATGTCTTATGTCTTAAAATAATTTCTGAATGTATGAAAGTTTTGTTCTTTTCATGCCTGCCTTTAGCACCTCACCTAATATCCTGTTTGTGCCAATTTTTTTTCAGTTGAGCAGGAAGGTTTGAAACAAAATAAATACATCTTGATATAATCAACAGGAAGCAGGAAAAAGGTCTGAGGAGAGTACAGAACAAGTGAAACACTAGCCTTTTCTGCGTACAGGTGAGGGAGGAAGTAGGGGTGGTTAGTAGGATCTACAGTATAAATTGGCAACTGTGGATACATGATCCCTGCTTGGTCTAGGAGGCTCTACCAGTCAACTCCCAATGAATGGCTTCTTCATTTTAGTCAGTATGAAGAATAGACACAAAATTATGCAAAAACAAGAAACAAAAGTTTCTGGGATTCTTTTAAGAAACTTTTTGACATATATTTCTTGAAACCCTCTTTTTATGCCAAAAATACTTGCCAGAAAACATTTATTAAAACTTCACTTTAGATACTACTATATATATATTACTAATATTAATGAAATTTCAGGATATATCAAGCAGATCGTTCTTTGGAAAAGTTTACATTTCAAAATAATCAGGTGCTTTGATTTTCCACAGAATGCTTTGCATTACAGTGTCAAATACAAAACTGAAAAAAAATTGCTATTAAGTGGAAGAGTTTCAACTCTGGCTGAACCAAGCGTGTTGAATAGTGCTATTGTCTTGAGGAATGAATCTTCTTGATAATTTTTCAGCATTACACTCCTCTCTGCTGGACAGGACACTTTCAGTAACTTTTAAGTGACTGTTGACCTTCTGGGCAAATCCTGAATGGACACTCCAACAGGGAATACAAGAATTCCATAATTTTCAGGGCTTACTAGGGTTTGCAGGGCTTTGTAGCAAACCTTACTGAGCTTCTCTGGGCTCATCCTGTTGGATAAGGTAGGCATCATCTGGAAATGGAGAAACTATTGCCCCTGAAGCTCCTGAGACTGCACCATACGCTCCCACAACCCTGCATTATGCTTTTAAAAAAGGTTTCAAGGGGAGCGGGAACCCTTCTTTCAAGCTGACTTACACTCTTGAAAACTCAGGAAGTGGCAAATTTGACAGTGGTAGGGCAGATGGGGGAAGGGGTGCAAAATGAGCAGGGGCTACATGCAGCACGTAGACCATACATTACTCAGATGTCTGTCTGTCTGTCTGTCTGTCTGTCTGTCTGTCTGTCTGTCTGTCTGTCTGTCTGTCTGTCTCTCTCTCTCTCTCTCCCAGCTTGCTTAAGACCAGTACAAGTCCCTCAGCCAAGGCTGTAGCACTTCTCCCAGTATGCAGCTGCTCTCATCACAGAAGCCTACAAAACAGATTTTTTTTTCCATAGTCTGTCTGGGGTTTTCCCCCTCTGATTAACATTATTTCCCTCTGAAGGGAAAACATTTTGTTTCGGAAACTGAAACAGACACATAGTTTCATTTCATTTGCATAGCACAACAGCATGAGCATTAATGTTTTGATGACTTTCCCATATGCCAGAAAAAGTTACAAGAGAAAGTACACTTGTTTCTTGCAGTATTTGTACTTTTAGAATACTTTTAATTTTGTAGCGTCTGAAAAAAATATAATTTAGCCTCCAAAATAGAAATTACACAGTTATTAAAAGCTGTTTTTTAAAAGTATTTCTAATTCTGATCTAGTACTGTATTGTCATCACCACCATTTCAAATGTATATTCCCCAGTCAATTTAATTTATATTTTTAAGAAACAACAATGAAAAATAACGATTTTAACAATCTTATTAAGTACCCATGAGTTGTCTCAAGTTCTTTCAGGTTCATTGATCCAACGTTCTTTATACTTTCTTTATACAAAAAGCTTAATGCCCTGCATCTATTTATTTAACAGTTATGTCCATACAAGATGCATCATCCACTTTTTCCTTTGCAAAGCATAAAAAAAATCTTATAAATAAGAAGCGTCTAACTCAGTCATGTTAAAAAACAAAAACAAGACAAAATGAACTGAAATAAAACAAGATCAGAGCATACCATATACATTCACGTTGAAAATTCTATCTTCTTCTCCTGCAGGGTTCATAGCAACACACGTGTATTTCCCTACATCACTCGTGAGGGATCCAAAAATGCTCAGTAAGCTTCCATCTGGAGCTAAGCTAGATGAAAAAAATGTAGAACATAGAAGAAAAGAAGAAATTGGTTGCACACAAAACTTAGGCTCTGTGGTCAAAACAGCAGAAAAGTAAAATGGGACCTGCAACAACAGGTTGTAGTGGGTGATTATTGCTGAGAGTTCCTGGTCAGGCAGTCTCTCATGCCAGCCAGCATTCCTGTGTATTTGGGTGTTTTTTTGGTTCTCCGCTCTTCCATACATATTTTTGTACTTCCACAAACTATGGTATTTCTGAGAGTCTGCTGTTACTACTTGTGCATAAATAGTGCTACAGAATCTCTGACACTCACCTCTGAACACTAGAAATAGAGAGACTGAACGATGTACAGTTCTTTTAGAGCACATCAGGGTGTTTGAAAGTCCTTACATTCAGTACATCATTATTGCAGCAGCCCTTATGCTAGCAGGGCAATGGAAATCTGTGTATCCCTATATTATAGATTGGGGGGGGCAAAGAATTATATTATAGATGGGGGCAAGAACATGAGATGGAGGATGAGATGGTGGGACAGTGTCATCGAAGCTACCAACTTGAATCTGACCAAACTCTGGGAGGCAGTGGAAGACAGGAGGGCCTGGCGTGCTCTGGTCCATGGGGTCACGAAGAGTCGACTTAACAACTAAACAACAACAAGCTACAACACAGTGTTTATTGTTCACTGCCCTGGCATCTTTTGATGAATGACACTTTGCATTCCTGCCTGCATTGTTTAGCTCTGTGCATCTTCCAAAAGATGACAATAGCAAACCTAATACATATAATTTATATAGCAACAATGATCAAGCTATTTACCAGGAATGATCTGTGGGCACAGGCATTTTGATTTCAGCTTTGGTGGTTTCAGAAAGAAAATATGTCTATGACATGGGCCTCATAACATTTTCAAACATTCTGTTTGGACTTTTTAATGACTTTCTCATTAAAAGTCCTGTCCCTTTCACGGATTCCCCTTTATACTGTTTCTAGAATTTGCCCCCTTACTATGTTCTCATTCTTACTCAGACGTTAGTTTTCTTCGGAATGACAGAAACCAGTACTTTACCTCATCCTCTGAGATTCATCACTGATGACAGGTTTTCCATCTTTTAGCCATTGAATTACAGGTATTGGGATTCCACTCGCCTTACAGGAAAGATGAATGTTCTCTCCAAGAACAACACTGATTTCACTTGGCACTTCAGATCCCACAATATCTGGAGGAACTTTAGAAGGGGGAAAAGGTGTTTTAGAAGTATTATAGCTGCATGAGAGTGCAATTGTGATATTGTGCAGCAGAGCAAATCAACATTCTACAAAGTAATTCTAAAAATAGGGGCAGTCTAAACAAAAAAAGTAACTTTGAAATTAAGTTCAGATCATCACAGTTCTAGCAAACAGTCTTCTCTTGGTCTGTGTCAAATTTGGAGAAGATGGGTCTTCAAGTTACAATTTTTTAAAAAGTAAAAGTCCTTGAGAAACAGATAACCTGAGATTTAAAACAGATCACATAAATTGAAAAGACTCATCTTGCTTATCTTGAAAGAGAATGGTTGGCCCCAACCACTTTTATAAAAATTTGGAAAGAATCCAGACTAAAGGGATGAAATATTGGTCTTCCAAAAATGCCTTTCAAAAGAGAAAACAGCCATTTAGTATAACACTGACTATATGTAGTGCAGACTTGCCAACAAGAGCTTCATGAAATAATATACTGTATACATTCCTGGATGGGAGAGGGAGATATTTGGATTGCTGCAATGCAATGACAGGTCACAGAAACAGAATCAAAGACTGGTTTTCTTTAAATAGGAAGGAAGGAAGGAAGGAAAAAAAGAAAATAAAAGAAAGGAACAAAAGGCAAAAGAAACAGGCTTGCTTTAAGAAAGTTAATGGAATGACAGTCCTCCAGGAAGGGGGATATTTTGCCATGTATTTTCAGGGAATTATCATATGATTTTATCATATGATTTTATAAAGCATAAACCTTATTTTAGAAAATACAGATAGCAATTGTGTTTTGTTCGAACACTTTTAGTAAACATTTCCTCAGGATTTCTGAGAGCAGTCTCCTCACAAAAGGGAAATCATGTCCATGTCTGGGCAAACAGTCAGGCTCCAATTAGTTGGCTCTTAGCTAACTTTTTAACTCCTTCCTGACCAAACAGGCTTATGGGATTCTTGAATGCAAGGGGATTTTGTGTCTGGTTGTAAAAATGCAGACACAAAAAGAATATTTTAAAAGTTGTTAAAATACAGATATTAAAATATTTTTAAAAGTATATTAAAACAAGAAGAAATATTCAGATATTCACTCATTGAAGCTGTGAAATTAGAGGGGGCACTGTTCTTTCTGGTTGGGGATCGTCCTATTTATGTTAGCTGAGCTTTGGTGCCTATATCCTGTCATGGTCTCCAGTTAGTAGTTGGTATCTCAACGATTCCACCCACCTTATCACTATACAATTGTTTGGTAATTGGAAAAAAATGGCAGTATGCAGATTCAAAAACAAGCGCAGCAGCAAAGATCAAGTTCAACTGGTACCATGCAGCAAAGAAAATGAAGGTTTCTGATGCAGATGAGACAAAAGCGGAAAACCTTCCATCTGCAAAATCCAAGATCTGAAATGTGAACAAAGCCACCTCTCCCCATACACATCTGTAACCAGTTCCTGAATCAATCACTGACTGATTTTTCTGGATGTATATGCCCCTGTTAATTGCTCCCTCCCAAAGCAGAACTACCTAGATAAGAACTTGTTGAAAAACAGCCTTGACAATTGCTATGTGTCTAGGTTAGAAGTGGATAACTAATGAAAAAAGGACTCAGGTTCTGGATTTTCCCCTGCTTGGTATCTCTTTGTAAATGGAAATAAGCACAAGACTATATCCTGCAGACCATCTTGACGGCTGACATCGGCATCATCAACTTTCAGGCTGCCCTTTCCTATGTAAAATTTCGTATCCTCTTTCCTGCTGTCAATGTGGACACAATATTTTGCAACAATATCAGGCCATTTCTTGGCACTTTGAATCTTTGGGAGAGAAGCACAACATCCCACATTCATACATCAGAGGTTTTTGAAGAATTAAATCTCTGTAAGGTGGGAGAAGGGAGAGAGTTCCCACCCTTCCCTGGATTAAACCCAAGGTTTATGAAACATAATGAGGAAAGAGTGAGGGTTTGATGTGGAGGAGGATGGATACACATGCAGCTCTCATTCTCAGTGCCTGTAATAATGATGGATCATGCCAACTGTTTTTGCGTTAGGATTTCAGCTATGAAACGTTTTGAAGCTTATGGATGAATTTAAGTTATTTTACAACTGCTCCTTTTCAAGGTACAAGAAAATATATTTGCACATATAATCACACACATAAACACACACACACACATACCTTGAATAGAAAGGACATAGAATTTCTGAGCTTTGCCTTCCACATTTGAGGCAATGCAAGAATAATTCCCATTATCCGAATAGTGGGATCTGGCAATTTGCAGCTTGCTGCCTCCTGCCAAAATATGCATTTCGAGAGAGGCAGCATTTTCTAAATGTAGAAAATCAAGAATTAATCACTATATTAGAAGTACAGAACAATTTACTTTTGTAACAAATTACTTAATCTTCACATCAGAGCTATAAACCATTGCTTAAAATCAGTAGCAAACCACTGCATGCCTAAATTATGTTCAGAGGGAGAGAAAAAAAAGCAGAAGTCCTGCACAGGATCTTTCATTCAGTCTTGGTCCCCACATCCCAGTGTTTCACCAATATCCTGAGGAAGACTCAGAGGAAGGAAAGGTATCATCACTACCAAATCACTTGGAAAAATTCAATCAATTCATTAGCCTAACATGGCTTGCCCTGACAAGAGCTGTAGAATGCCTCTGTTTAGAAAGAGAAATAGGAGGGGAAGAGAACTTTGTTGCCCTTGTGCTTTTATACTTGTTTTGTCTCATTCTGTTTTGACTACATGCATTCTCTGCATTTTGCATCTGGAGAGATCAGGTAAGGAATTTATAACAACAAATTGACTACAATAAAAAAAGAATATGTTACCAAGTGGCTTCCCGTTCTTAAGCCATGTTATTCTGGGAGGAGGAATTCCAGTGGCATCGCATGTAAAAGTTACAGGGTTACTGATGGTTTCATTGATCCACTCTTGCTCAGGGCCTTCAATGGTTGGTGGGACTGAGAATGAGAAAAGCACACGAACATATTTATCGAGAAGGTAATATTCTGCCCAGAGGCTGTAATGCTCTGGATGGGGACTCCATTCAGTGTCCTTGCCCTCTCTCCAGCCCAACCAATACTTCTTGTTGAGCAGTTCCCAAAAGCATCAAGAACAATTAAGGTGGACAGAGTCCAAAGCAAGTAGATTTCTTCAGTTCCATGGTCAGGGCAATTAATTAGCCCTAACAAAAGAGTTGGTCTGTTTACTAGGTCATTGGAGTTTCAGTCTTCAGTTCCATGGTCAGGGCAATTAATTGTTTACTACGTCATTGGAGTTTCAAACATGAACACCAAGCTTACCATGAACATTAAGATGGAAGTTTTTGTCATCACGTCCTGCAATATTTATGGCTTTGCATACATACTGGCCCGTGTCGGACACCTAAAAGTGGAATAAGAAAAAATGATATACCATGGATCAATTTATTAAATAAAAGCTTTTTCAGATGTAAAATTTATCATTGCCAACAGCAGGGATGGGGACTCGAATCACTGGACTCAGTGTCAAGTCAGACTTGGGTCACGCTGGTAACTCGACTTGGACTCAGGGTGTTGTTGTTGTTTTTTCAATGAGTCAGACTCGACTGCTTCTTTTTCTTTCTTTCTTTCTTTTTTTGGGGGGAGGGGGGAAGCTTATTTTTAATAGGACTTGGGATTTGGAACTTCAGGACTTTGCATCGACCTGGAACTTCAGGACTTGGTATCAAAGACTCGGATCCAAAGACATGCCAACATCCCTGGCTAACAAGAATGCTGTAACTAATCAGACTCAGACCCAAAGACATGCCAACATCCCCGGCTAACAAGAATGCTGTAACTAATCGCACGTTCCACAGCATTTGAAGGTTGAGCACAAAGTCTTTTCCAATCTAGTTACTGAAAATGTACATAGTTGTTATTGATATTCATTGGGTAATATGGCAAAACAGGAGATATTCAGAAAACATGCATTAAATGAGCTACTTCAGTTTCCCCCTATATGTCAAGGATTAGCAATCACAGCATGTGAGGCAAATATACAGTCTGCCAATGCAAACATTTGGTAGGAAGGGAAGGGGCCAACAGTATCAAAAAGAGAAGGAGCCCCTAGAGTGGTTATCTGCAACATGTTTTTTTCTGAGTGATTTGGAAATTGGAAAATAGCTAAAAACAAATGTGTTCAATGGCAGGTTATAGATATTTTTATTGCACACAGGGCTTCCCTCAGGACAGTTAATGTCCCCCCCTCCCATTTTTTATTATCTGCTGTTTTACTTCTCTGCTATAATTTAAAGGTTGCTATATACATTTCTCATAGCTTTATTTTGGCATTCACCATATGCTGCCTCTTACTGAAGTCAAAATTGGTCTACAAACATAAAAGGAAAGAAAGAGAACATATGTGTATGCATATACCTCAGCAGCCTTGATATGAAGCATTTGTCCATCTGCTATGATTTCCACATTAGGCGATGCTGTGATCATGTGTCCGTTCTTATACCAAGTGATGATAGGCGGTGGAACAGCATTGGATTCACACTCCAATGTTACTGGCATTCCCACTCTCACATTTACTACTGCAAGGGCTGTACCACTGTGATCTTTAATACTAGGAGGAACTGTGGTGGAAAGGGGGGGGGGAAATAAGAAAAAAATCTTTTACTGTTCTCTGAACGAAGAATTGACACTTTGAGAAACAACAATACTGATAATAGGGAGAAAAACTGTTTCATTTTGAGAATTCAGAAACTCACCATAAACCGTAAGAAAACTCCTTCTTCTGCTCTCTCCAGCACTGTTTCTGGCTATGCAAACATATTCTCCACCATCAGAGAGATGTGCCCTAGGAATCTGCAGGGTGCGTCCACCTGAAATCATAACAAGATCACATAACTTTCAGTTGGGTCGTTAACAGAATTTTGCAAACAAATGTCACACTGAACTAGAGGAAGGGGACAGCATTTATTGAATTATAATAGTGGTATGAAAGAAGCATCCTTATCCATTTTGTGCACAACTGGTTATTTTAGGGTTATCCCAGGCCACAAATCTTGCAGATTTTTTTTTTGATTTTTTTTTTGGCATCCCATCTGCAAAATTTGCTTGGCCAGAAAAAATGACAAGGCTGAAATTAATAAGGCTTTTTACCATGCTTTCTCAAAATACTATTATTGATCTTTGGAACCTTGACCATGTTGAATCTAATATGCCCAACAGAAACAAGTCTTTTGCTTTGCATGCAGCCCCTTCATTCTTTTCATACCAGGAAGCAGCAAATGTAGAAGCAGTTATCTAGTTCCCCATTTTGCCCTAATCAGAACAGGCAATAAATTATTATTTCAAGCCATAGTTTATAATCTTATCCTGTTCTGAAATAGTTAACGTAGTCTGGAAAAAAAGAGAGGGAAAATATAGTTAACTAAAGGAATCCTGGTTTAGTTATCTCATATGTAAGACTGAAGCAGAGGATAGTACATATGGGCACAAGGCTTGCTCATTTCTTGTTCGTAAAACAAAGATATGATTGTTCAAACTGTCTCATTAAATAGTACAAAATAACTTTTCTCAGAGATTGAAACAAGCTTCTCTGAAGGGCCACAAACATATTTCAGGATCATCCCAAGGCCAATGGAAATACTTTCATTCATTGGACTATAATGTCTTCCCTACCTTTCTTTCTTGACCATATTTAAAGACTAAGAAAGTGTAGGAAACTCACAAGTGTTATCCTCACCTCCATATAATCCCTTTGAATACTTAAATATAAGTGTCTAAAGAAGGCAAGGTTCATGTACCTGTGCTGTCTCTTCAGATGAGCCCAATTACCCCTCTTGAAAAAAAATTAGGATTCTGACTCACATGGGAAGGCTACCCAGACACCTACCATTCTTCAGACAGCTGTACTTCCACGTTCAACATAATAATGGAGACAGGCAGGGCTAGCATGCTCCCCTCTAGGTACCTGAACTCCACATGCTTGCTCAAGGACTGAACAAGGATTAGGTGCAATCAACAAGAAATTTCAGAGAAGATTATTGCTTATGTCTCTTTTTTTCAATACTTAGGGGGGAAGAACCAAAGAAACTCCCTGCTTTTTCTTCACTAGAGATCTAAATCATCATTTATTTTGTCCTCACAAGCAAGAATGAAACTTTTCAGTTTTCTCCCCACTCAAACAATGTTTTTATGGTTTTTTTTAAAAAAAATCAACAATTTTTTGCAAAAAAATTAACAAAGGAACTTTGTGCAAAGATATATTTTGTAAAATGCAAGTTTTTGTACAAAAAACCCAGAGGTTTTTCTAATGCCAATGCTGCTGGTGCTGGGAAGAGTGTCGGTTTTTCCATTGTAGTATAATGCTATTGTGATGGAGACAATAATATTTAGAGGAATTAATCATATCCTTGTCTTTAACTCATGTGCTTAGCACTTATTTGTTAGTCACCCTCACCATGAAAGGACCATTACCTTAGTTAATAGCAAGGCTACAAAGGATACAACCAGAGTTTTGATTACACTGTGAACTCTACAGAGAGAAAAGAGACTGTAAATCTCCAAATTTTTTACTATCTATGCCTGAAGAAGAGTTCTGGGAAATTCAAAAGCTTCTCATGTTTCTAAAGTTGTAATGATCTAATGAGCCTCATGGTGGAGAAGTTAAACTGCAGTACTGCAGTTTTAGGAGGGACGTGGTGGCTCTGTGGGCTAATCCATAGAAGCCTGTGCTGCAGGGTCAGAAGACCAGCAGTCATAAGATCGAATCCACGCGACAGAGTGAGTGCCCGTCGCTTGTCCCAGCTCCCGCCAACCTAGCGGTTCGAAAGCATGCAAATGCAAGTAGATAAATAGGGACCACCTCGGTGGGAAGGTAACAGCGTTCCGTGTCTAAGTCGCACTGGCCATGTGACCACGGAAGATTGTCTTCAGACAAACGCTGGCTCCATGGTTTGGAAACGGGGATGAGCAGCGCCCCCTAGAGTCGAACACGACTGGACAAAAATTGTCAAGGGGAACCTTTACCTTTATCTTACCTTTACTGCAGTTTACCTCTGCTAATGGCCTGAGTAGTCTGTTCATCAGACTCAGCCTTCCAAGGTCAGCAACTTGACTAGCTGGGGTGGGGGGGATGGAGCTATGTTTATGTTTAGCCTACATAATTAAATTGTAAGCCACCTGGAGAGTGCTTAAAGTGCTATGTGGCAGTATATAAGCAGCACACTTTAACCAAGGAATTACTTCAACCAAAATATTACATAGAAATTTATTGAACATACAATTGGCCCTCTGTGATTTCCTTCTCTGCCCTGTTAAGATATTGAAGAAGGAAGAGGAGCATCCAGTAGATGGACAAAGAAAATCCAGAACCGCGCTTACCAGGTATGAGAAGAGCATTTGGATTTAAGCTGAGAGGTTTTCCATTCTTGAGCCAAGTGAGATCAGGAGGCGGAAAGCCAGTGACCTCACATGTCAAGGAGATGAAGTTATTCACCACAACAGTCAAATTTTCCGGATTAACACCAGCAACACTTGGAGGAACTGTCAAAAGATATATAAGCTGAAATCTTGCTGTCTTGCTCCTGCAACTACAGGAAATTTCAAGAAGCAACTGGAAGTTATTTACAGGATTTTCTTCCTATGATAATATTAGATGTCATCTTCTGTAGGATCTGAACATTTTATTTTATATTTTACATCTACTAAACCATTCTCCTTGGCTTCTCTGGGCATCAGAATTTCTTTTTTCTTTCTTTTTTGCCCCTTGCCACTCCACATATAACCAACTGGCACAGAAGGTATTAATGCACCTCTAAATGCACTATCATATTTCCTCATGTACATGTCATTGGTAGCCCAGCACATTAGATATCTCGTTGTGGGGACAGAGGTTGGAAATTTGATCCCTTATTGTGGCTCATGGGATGAACGCCTGCCGGTACAACTTTCAACAAGCTGCACAGGCCTTGGGCACTGTCAGAAGAAGGGAAAGGTAAACCAGTGCTGAGTATTCTACACCTAGAAAATCCTGGAAAGAGTTGTCTTAGGTTGCAATTGAATTCACTGCATGTTGTTGTAGTTGTAGTTGTAGTAGTACCACCAGACCCTATAGATATCCTAGAAGTATACACATAGCATGTGCTGTTTTTCTACATCAGTTCACATTATTTCCAAGCAAATCACCTTAGGGGCCAAATATTTGGTCCCAGCATCTTCCATGGGCTTCACTAGCATGGGAAATGGCAGTTTTCAGCCATTAAAATAAACTGGAAATAGGAAGTGGCCAAAAGGTATTCTGGTTTCTTTTTTTTTTCCTGTGGGGAAACAGAAACCTTGAGAGATTCCCCTCATAATGACACTGATGCAAAAATCACTATTCCTGTAGGCCTGCAAGGGATTAATTTTAACCATTTGTTTTCTTATGGATCTCTAGGGTAGCCTTGCAGAAATGCAAAAATGATCCTGGTGGGTGTATGTAGCCTAAGTATGTTGAATTCGAGATGATGATGAGGCAGTCAAAGGGTTCAGAAATTCACATGGATATAGAGTGTGTGTGTGTGTGTGTATGTGTGTGTGTGTGTGCGTGCGCGTGTCTGTGTGTGTGTGTGTACAAGCGCGCACATGTAGCTTCTAAGCCATATGTTGCCTACCTACCTTTTAAGAGATATTTGTACAGCTAACAAAGAATTCAAAACTGTCAAAGTGAAACTAGTGTGAAATAAATACTAGCTAGCATGAAATCACTATGTTCAGCCAAAATATATGCCACAGAGCACTGGTGAAATTTGTACAGGGATAATTGAAAGGAAGGCTTAGGAGATGGAATAATTACTTCAGTCCTAAACCTGGAGTAATCTTGGATACATTGAATTTGAGATGATGCTGAGACATCCAAAGGGTTATTTCAGACAGTCACATGGCAATACGAAACTGAACAAAGGGGGGGGGGACATAGAACAGAGAAATACAGTTGCTTTTTGTAGCATTAGTGAAATCACACATGTTATTGAAAGCCATGGGATCTGATTAGGTCACCCAAGGAGAGGCCAAAGAGATACAGTGGTGCCCCGCTTGATGGTTACCTTGTTAGACAATGAAATCGCTTAACAATGTGGTTTTTGCGATCGCTTTTGTGATCACAAAATGATGTTTAGATAGGGAAAATTCGCTTTACGATGATCGGTTCCCTGCTTTGAGAACCGATTTTTCGCTTTACAACAATCAGAAAACAGCTGATTGTCGGGTTTCAAAATGACTGCCCGCTGTTTAAAATGGCTCCCCGCTGTGTTTAGGAAGGCTTTTTCACAAGACAGGCACCGGAAAATGGCAGCCCTATGGAGGATCTTTGCTGGACGCTGAGGTATTTTGCCCATTGGAATTTATTGAACCGGTTTTCAACGCATTTCAATGGGCTTTTTCATTTCACTTGACAAGGATTTCGTTCTACAGCGATTTTGCTGGAACGGATTATCCTCGTCAAGCAAGGCACCACTGTATAAGAATGACTGACTAAAATAGAACCTCAAGTCTCTTAGAAGGTGGAAGTGCTTTGCAGTTTACTGAACATGCTGTATCCATGTTCTTCTTCACTTCTCAAGCAACATGGTCTTGGTTTATATTACACTTAATGTTTAGGAAATGGCCATTGCTTTTAAATACAAGAAAAAATGGCAAGAAATGTTTCATTTCTTGACAATGTAGACAAAATAACTCATGGTGATGAATGACCATATTTTTGCATCTCAGTCACAACGTGGTCCTCCTTGTAAGGATCCCTAGTACTGTTTTTCAAGAGAAATTACTGCCAGGGGTTAATGTCCTCATTATATAGTTTTTGAGAAAGAGATTGAGCTGTATGGTATCACTGCAGTTGAAATTATACATGTCTTCAAAAGATAAAGAGCTTTCAGTTAACATAAAACATGAAGAAAACTATATGTTACAGTCAATACTGAACTGTGTTTCCAGCCCTCTCCTACTTTGAATAATTGTATATATTCTTGATGTCATTGTTTTCCAACTTTTTCTAACTCTTTTCAGCAGCTGCCAATGATATGGAATGATAGTGAGGAAATACAGAATGACATGATGCCAAGATAAACAGAAGTTCTAATACATGTTATAGACAGAGGGTGTGGTAAGCCAAGGTAGCCCACAGTCTGTGCCAGGAGGAGTCACTTCAAAATGGTGGAGGGAAACACAGCTTCTGCTTGAACTATGGCAATAGCAGGCAGATCGACATTTATTTTGGCAGCATTTATTTAATTTTTTCTCTCTCTGAAGACTTGAGTAAAAGAAACAGATAAATTAGAGTTCTGAATCTGTACCAGTATTCCTATTCACAAAGCAAATACTTAGTGAAATTTATTGGCAAGAACCCTGTTGACTCTGCTGATCTTCCATCTCTCACATAAGTACAACACTTAGCAGTTATCTCATGGAGTCTGAAATCATATTACACAGCTCTACATGATCTATGATGATGATGTCATCTGCAGCAGCATATCACTGCTGATAATAGGCTTCTTTTGGTAATTTTAGGATGAATGAGACTTTATTGCACTGTGTATGAGTTGTGTACATTCTGAAATCACCTTTAATCAACAGCAATTTGCCTTTAATTATGGTCCCTTCAATAGCACCATTGCTGATGATATCACCACCACTATGCATGTAGAACTGCGCAACAGGATTTCAACCACAATGCCATTGGTCTTGTTTCATTTATGAATTAGACTACCCATGTATAGAAGGAACATTATTTGTTTTGATTATGTTTATGTTCACATATATTCAGTGAGTCTGCGTTCAATTTTAAGCCACCCTACATAAATGAATCCCAGTGGGTCAGTTGCACACAGTAAAATCTGTATGCCATAATACTTCTAACCTTCTCAAGAACTAGACAATAAATCAAACTTAGTAGTATTGTGGTGATATAAAAGCAGTGCTCCAGCTGGAATAATTGTGTTGGGGGGGATATTATGAATGAATAATGTTGGCTTTTTAGTTCAGGAAACCCAAACTGAAATCCCTTCCATGCCATGAATCTCACTGGACAAGAAGAAAATAAGAATTCCAAAGTACTTTGGGCAAGTCAAAGGGTACGCAGATATTAAGTAACAGTGATACGCAGTTCTGAGTTATGGATTACACTTGCCCAATTGTGGACTATGTCGCCTAGGAAATTCTGGGGAAACACAAATCTGTAGACCTCCGTTTAGTTAATGAAGTGGTCGAGAAGCAAGGTCTGCCCCAAAACAGAATGAGATTGATTTAAGTTAAGAGGATAATGTTTTTGCTCTTTAAAGATGTTTTGTTCTTCCATGCAGCTATGACCCAATTTGGTTGAAACAAGGCCTCAACTGAATGTTTATGTCCTTGCATTTCCAAAGCACAGGAGCAGAATTTTTACACTTAATGGTCTCTCAATCACAAATAACTAACCAAGCATCTTAGACAATAGCAATCTTACCATGGACATTAAGATTAAAGTATTTTTTCGCACTTCCTGCTGTATTTTCCACAACACAGACATACCTGCCTGTATCTGCTATTTGGGAACTGAGGATCTAGAAAGAAAAGGAAATAAGAAACACTCATAATTTGGCTAAATAATGTATTTTCAAGTATTCATACCAAAATTAATTTTTCATTATTTGATCTGATTTTCATTTGCCTTTGTGCCTTTCTTCTTTACTGGGGACCCATAAGCACCCCAACAGGTTTTTCATACACGGTTATTGTTAAGCTATGGAAGTTATATTTTAATTGTAATATATTGCTTGTTTTTGACCAAAAAGAAACAATTCAATTGTTTACTTCATGGAAATTGTATGGTCTAGTGTACATCAGATCTGTGAGGACAGGGAACAGTGCAATTCTCAAGAGTATGTCTCTGAATAATAAAACTCAGCTCACTATACAAGTAAATTTTTCAGGTGACTGACTTCTCAAGTGGAAATATCTACAAAGTGGCACGTTGTCTGTATTCAATTGTTGTTGTCTTATAATGGTCACAGTCTGTGTTTCACAGAAACTTAGCAGAAGAAGAAATGCAGTATAAAACCAAGAAGGAATTATGAAAACAAGAAGGAACAGGAATCAAATTGATCTGCTGACCACCCACTGACCATGCTACTTTTTGATGAAGTGCCTTCACTATGTTACCTGAAGTGTTCTTCCATTGGCTAAGAATTTGTGTTGGGAGTCTTCAGTTAAGACCTGCCCATCTTTCTGCCAGGTTATACTTGGAATAGGGCTACCATTTGCTATACATTCCATCATGGCCATCTTGCTCATCAGCACGGTCACCTCTTCAGGCATATCACCATTAGCTCCATTAATGGAGGGCGGCACTGGAGAGAATGCACATGTTAAAGGGTATTCATTTTTTATCCTAGTCATGAACATCTATACCAAATTTATGAAACACACAACTTCAAATTAGTATCAAAGCTGAAAACAGTCAAAAACATAATTTTGCAAAGCTTTAAGTTCAATATATTTATAGAGTGGCTGTGGAAACTACATAGTTATGGCTGGTGTTAGGTCTCCATATTATCTTCCCCAAAGATGTGATTAGTAGAGTCAGTGCCCCCCCTTTTTTGGCAATTTTTAATTATGGCTTTTATTCACTGAAACTGCAAATCTGCCTCTCTATCCTGCCACCTTCTGAAACCCTGAAATCTGTACAAGTCCCTTTTTACCAAATAGACAATGTAGACTAGCAATTCTGGGGTGGAAATTTCATTTTCCAGTATCTCCTCCTTATGTAGGATTAGTGTCTGGTCGAACACATCTGATCCTGGAATGTGTTTTCTGAGGAAAATTTTTGAGCAGCGCATGCATATTTAATACCTTGTAATATGATGAATATCTCCATTTTAAGAGACAGACCTAAATGGCAACTCCCTCTCCTTTCTGAGTACATGTGGCTTCTTTCCTGATCCAGCTAGAAAAGGGTGGGGCAAATTGGCCTGTTTTGTACAGTGAATCAAAGACATTAGGTTGTGGTCGCGTTATTTATTTATATGGTATCTGGAAAAAAAAATCTGACCATAAGAGAAACTTTATTTTTCCAACTCTGATTTGTAAGTGCTCCTATGTTTCAAAAATTAGGAAAATTCAAAATATGGGGGGGGGGCTCTTTTATTTATAGCAAAAAAGCTATGTTTGAAGCTATATCCCCAATGATAAGGACATTCAGATCAATGAGCAACTCCCCTCTGACTTCACTCAAAATACGCACATACTGATGCACCCTTCTTATAGGTTAGCTTTCCCCAGAAAAAGCACATGAGGTAAGTTCCATTCTTTGATTCCCCATGAGTAGAAGCACACTCCCCTTCATGGATTGCTGCCTTGTTGTGGTGGAAGAGGCTATGGGCTATGCCATGCAGGGATACCCAAGACGGACAGGTCATACTGGAGAGTTCTGACTAAATGCTATCCACCTGGAGCAGGAACTGGCAAGCCACTCCAGTATCTTTGCCAAGAAAACT